CAGATAAATTGAAATATAATCCTTTTCAAAGTGGAAAAAGTCCTAATTCCACATCCATCAGAGCCAGTTATGCTTTACATATTGATAAACAGCATTTAGTGCATGTAGTGCTTATAAGATTTGTATTAATGTAGCAAGAAATGCTGCTGTTCTCTTTAAACAAAATGAGCCCTGAAGCTCACATTAAGCATAAAAAAGAGCATGCATATTTTTTTGCAAAGGACCAATAAAACTGGAGAATAGTGTCCCTACCAAAGTTGAAATCAAACCTACGCCCTTGATTTGTATATATTTCATTTGTGTTTCAGTAATGCAGAAAAACTGTCCATCAGATGAAACCAGAGCTAATAACTCAGTAATCCATCGAATTCAAAGGAATCAGGTTAGTACTTTAGTTTTCCTAATGGGTAGCTCTTTTTCCAACCAAATCATTGCTGCTAAACTTAACATTGTGGTGTTGCACAGTGATATGCACTATAAGCAGCTTCCTGTTCTTTTTAAAACAGAAACTGATCAATGGCCTAGCTTTACCACACTGTGCATTATGTTTAAGGTGCTTTTATACATATCTTGCATTGCGATTGCTTCCAACTAGCTAATTTTGCTGACTCCCTTCTTCCAGCATTCACACCTGACTCGCTGGTTTTCTGACGTCATGAAGAACTACCATAACATCCAGGTTTCCTTCAGAGAGAAATGCAAGGCACAAATTCAGAGACAGCTGGAAATTGGTGAGGAGCTATTTCAACAGCAACTGCTTTAAATTGTTTAACTGCTTTACAATGAGAGCAAATTTAAACAGAAGTCAGATCTATTATTTGTGTTCCTAAACTTGGCTAATACAGCTGATCATGAGTCTGATCTGATTCTTTAACGGATAATAACTTTAATCATGCAAATGCCTATGATAATGCATATTTAGCACAGAGTACTATAAATGCTGTTATTTAAATTTAATTGGCCTCTTGGCAGGAGCATTTTTAATATTGCAAACACTTTATACAGTATGTACAGATCTGCCAGACAATGCCAATCCATTGTTTGAGTACCTTTTTCATTTATCCAGTTTGTTCACTGAGTGAGCTTTAAAAAGCATCTTTAAGCTGCTTTTTACATTGTGTTCATCTATGTTTAAGAATATCAGTTTAATCTGAGCAAATGCAGTAATCCTGCCATCTTGTGGTGAATATCCAAAGATGCGTGTTACATGTATCTTTTCAAACTTAAATTTTCCACTTTTACCACAATTACTTAGTTATTCTATATTTAACAATCTATTATACTTCTTGTTTGTGTCTCATAGTGGATAAAGTCACTACAGATGATGACCTGGAGGATTTGCTGCAACGGGATAATCTTGCAATCTTCATATCTAACGTTAGTAAAATATCTATGTAACGTATGTGTGTGTGTGTATATATTATATTATATTAATATTATATTATATTATATTATATTATATTATATTATATTATATTATATTATATTATATTATATTATATTATATTATATTATATTATATTATATTATATTATATTTATTTTTTCCTTAGATTCACTCCGATGCCCACTTTTCAAGTCAGGCGCTTACTGAGATTGAAAGACGTCATCAGGACATCATCAGTCTTGAATGCAGCATTAAAGAGCTACAAGAGATATTAACAGACACAGCTATGCTGTTGGAGATTCAGGTAAAATCTCTGTTCCATTTATAAATGTCTGAGGACTAATTTACATATCACTGATAAGATGACAAGATTTTTTTTTTTTGTTTCTCACCAGGGGGAGATGATCAACAACATAGAAAAGAATGTCACCAGTGCTGGAGAATATGTAGATGTGTCAAAAGAGGAAACCCATAAAGCACTTGAATATAAAAAAAATCGTTATAAGATTGCATCTCTGCCAAGCTTCCTAAAGCCCTTTAGGAGACAAGCCAGTACTAAATCTGCTACAGATGAAGACTCTTCTGAAGACTGCATCAAACGTGCCTAATCTGCATTGAAACTTGGAAAATTATTTTTATTTATTCTTTTACCTCTCTTTGACATTCTTAAAGAAATGATTGTTTTTAAGAATAGAATAATGACTTCCCTAAATTAAACTTTAAATACATTAATAAAATGAGTTGTTAAGAATTTCCATTTCAATCATAGAATGTTTGTTTTATTTCCTTATAATACTGGTATTAAACCAACACTAAGTGACTTTTCAACCTTCATAAAGTATTTTTTTTAACTTTTGTGATTATACTTCGACTTAAAACTAGTTTAAGAAGGACACCTCTGTCATGGTCTGAGGAGGCCTGTATTGCTCTCACCAGCAGTAGCCAACCTTGCCACTCAAAATAACTATGAATGTGCAGAGTGCTTAACGGCATATATCACTTTCGCCATTCTTTATAAAGAAGGAAGTTGATTCGCCTAAATTTCCCCGAGAGACAATATATTTGTGCAAAATGTTCAGAATTCATAGGCAAGGCAACTCCTTCCTACTGGGATCTAAATGTGTTTACTGTGAAATTTTCAAACCTAACATATTTATCTGTTTCAAGGTTCTAAACTCCTCAGAACATTAGTCGTTGACCAGTCGGGTGAGGTGGGGGTGCAGGAATACAGTACAAAATCTAAGACGTTTCCAATTTAAACATCCTCATATGACATTTCATCAGAGTTGGATTCATTAGCTCATTGCTGTTCATCTTTCACACAGCCACTGGAAACAAATGTATGGTATTTCAATCCAACAGCAGGCAACCTGGATTCAGGACTCTGCAGGTATGCCTATGCTCTCCACCACGCTGATTTTCATGGGAAATATTTTCTTCCTTTAGGCAAAACAATACAGCTTTTGTCCACTGGGGGATGCCGAAATCCCCCTAACGATATTTTATAATTTAATCTGTCGATTATTCTTTCGATGAATCAATTATAATCAAATAGCAAAACATTCCTTAAAGTAGGGTTTATGAAATTATACCAGGTGAAACTAAAACTTTTCCACTTGAGTTCTGGATAGAGCATATTGACAGATGAACACGTTATTTTATCTTTAATGAAAAAAGTTCACATAATTTTTTTTTTTTTTACAATTTTGTGTAATTGCTGCTCAAGGTGGGTCCCTCTGTCAACTAATGGAATGTATTAGAGTCTCTATACTCTAGTTATTGATTAATTGATTACTAAATTAGTTGACAATTCTTTCAATAATGGATTAATCACAATTTTTCCGATACTTCAAATACAATCTTGTTCAGTTGCTGGCACTGTAACACTATTTTACAGGCTGGACTTACCTTCTCTAGAGGTTTTACTTTGATTAATGTACGTCTGTTGAATTAACTGCTTTGAATTAAAAGAAAAATGTAACATATGGATGTTTAAACAATTTAATATCAGTGTGCAATAACTTTAACTTTTGTTGTTGCATAAAGCTCTAAAATGGAATATAAAAAAGTAAAAGTTGGGCTTAAATGCCCCTATATATATTTATATATATATATATATTTGTTTCAAAGTTATATTTTATGGTTCAAAGTGAGTTCTGTTTAACAGAGAACCGTGTTATTTTGCTCCTTAGAAAATGTCTCCTGGTATGACAGATTAGCACTTTTCCTTTTGATCAAGTTTAAATACAATATTTCAAATAATCTGCACAGAAAATTAAGAATATTTTTTGTAATTTAACCATAAGCTTTACCATTTAGTGAACTCGTTAAAACAAAAAAGTCAATCTGTTTCCTTGTCTGTACGTTAATATTCGGTTTCTGATATAAATAATCTTCTCCAAGCATTTCAACAAGTGCGTTTTCAATTTGAAATCAGATTTCAACATAATAAAACTGGGTGGAAAAAATGCGGTTGAAATGAATAGAAGAAACAATTACATTCTGTACACCCTATTTTTGACTCTGACCTTTGTGGACAGCCGCTCTGCAATAGAAGGATTGAATTAAAGCTCCCCTGAGAATAAGAGGGAGTGGTGTGGCTGTAAATGTCTTTATGGCTGAAGTTATATTAAACTAACTGAAAATTTAAGAAACTGATGTTTTGAGGATTTTGGTTATTATGCTAATCAATGCAAACCTAACACTTTAAATGCAAAAGAGCAGCACATGGACTTCAATGATTTATAGAAAAAGTCCGTGGAAGTGCTAAACCTAAATATATGTGCCTCAGTAGTCTATCTAAGAAGTTTTATGTTTACACACAATTTACAAAATAGCTTCATATCACTATTTTCATTACTTCTTATTTCTTGTTATTGCAAGACATTCATATTAGGTATAGAATATATAAAGGTAGCATTAAACAGTATTGCTGAATCACCCTTTGAATGCAATAGCAGTAGCAGAATAAAGCCACCACTTTGGAATGTCTCCATTTATAATAAATCTTTATCTAAAATGAAATGCATTGTTGATATATCTTAATTAAAACTGCGCCTTTGCATTTCTCCCTGGTCTGATGACACTTGAACACAACCATACTACTGTACCTCCTGGAATACTGCCTGGATGAACTCATTGACTTTTCTCCCAGACTGCTTTTCACACTCTTATGGACCTTAGAATAAACTATCACAGCACCTTTTGTGTTTTGCTGATTTTTTTTTTCTTCCTACTTTTCCAAATCCTCCAGAAGTACCATGGAGTTAAGCTGCATATAAAAAAGGAGGGCAAAAAAAGAAATGATTTGTGAGGATAAGAAAGAATGCAGACATACAAACATGACTTATTTATTTGATTTGCCAGAGTGGTGAACCATACAAACTAGGGCTTGGGCACAATTTAAAAGGACTGAGTTATCCATGGCTGTGTAAAATGTGGGGGCCTGGCCCTTCTCCCGAAAGAACCATTAACCATTTCCCCAATCTGGAATGAAATATGAGGAAAAGCTGGAAGAATTTAGAGGTGAAAGTCTCATTTTCTGCTTTCTCATGGAGCCTCAAAGGCAAGTTTACTTCTTGGCTTTGCCCTGAGCAGCCACAGCCTCCATGGCCTTCTTCACAGTTTCCTCATCACCTAGGAAAGCCATGGGCTTGACCGGCTTCAGTTCGGCATCCAATTCATAAACAATTGGGATTCCAGTCGGCAGGTTCAGCTCCATGATGGCTGCATCAGACATACCTGAAAAAGCAATACAAACATATCCTGAATCAGAAATATTGGAGTATCTGTGCTCATACATTACATACCTATGCAAAGTTTTTCAATGCTTTATATATATTACTAAAAAGCATGGTGTGGCTGCTTCATGGGAAAATGAAATGATTTACTACACATTTAAATAATTCTAGATGCTTTTCGTGAATGCAATATATATTTATTGACATTCAAATATTTGTATGTTGAATTATTTGTCCATTAAAAGTCTAGTTTTTGATGCCTTGGTGACACATTTAAATGATTGTTTAAATATGGTACTTCTGGACCTCCATTTACTTTCTTCATGCTTGATTGTGCAAAATATGAATCACATAATTTTTTATATTTCTCATATTTCTCCTCCCAATGCCTCATCTTCTCTTATATTCAGCAACTCCCTTATTCATCCCTGGTCACTTCTTAAATATGTCCAACCTTTCGACATAAAGGTCATGACTGTAATGGGAACCAAGCTGATGACCCTTTACCCTGCGGTCGACTGCAGGAGTCTTTGCTTGCTATTTATAAGCAGTGGAATTAAAAGCTCTCTATTCGCAGTCCATGTACGTTTTATAAATCCAGTAAATAAATTTTTATTTCTGTTATTAAATCTCTGCAAACAATTTTAGAGCTTTAGAATTATGATTGAAAAAATACAACAACACCCACACGCAAACTGCAAAACTCACCCTCTAGGTGCTTGACGATCCCACGGAGGCTGTTCCCGTGGGCAGCAATGATAACATTCTTGCCTGCTTTGATTTGTGGAGCAATAACATCGTTCCAGAATGGCAGGGCCCGGGCAATGGTGTCCTTCAGGGACTCGCATGTGGGCAACTCACCAGGCTTCAGGTCCTTGTAACGCCGAGACTGGTAGTAGAAAAACAGAAATAGATCATTGCAACCCGCCTTTAACTCTGAAGATCGTTGAACAGGAGAATAATGTTCAGGTGTCTTACCTCACTGATGATCTTGTGGTAAGGGTGATCCTTATCCATAACTGGAGGTGGGATGTCAAAAGATCTACGCCAGATCTTCACCTGCTCCTCACCGTGCTTCTCTGCAGTCTCTGCCTTGTTGAGTCCAGTGAGGCCTCCGTAGTGGCGTTCGTTCAGTCGCCAAGTGCGAATCACGGGCAGCCACATCTGGTCGGTGCCCTCCATGATGGTCCATAGGGTCTTGATGGCACGTTTCAGCACTGAGGTGTAGCATATATCAAACTTAAGGCCTGCTTCCTTAATAGCCAGGGCTCCACGCTTAGCCTCCTCCACTCCCTTCTCACTGAGGTCGGCATCAAACCAGCCACAGAAGCGGTTCTCCTGGTTCCAGGCACTCTCACCATGGCGGACAATAACTAAGCGGTGGACAGCAGTCATATTTAATGGTTATTTTCAGGTTTAAGTCTAAACAAGCAAACACAGAGCCCTCAGCCCTTCTAAGTTGCTCTCTCACACACTCTGGCTGGCCAACAGTGAGCACAGACCAGCATACCAAACTCTTTTTATAGCGACCAGCCTCTCAGCATTCCACCTGTGAGAGCTCCTCAGGCTCTGATGGACACACAGGGCAGGCCAATAGAGCCAAACATCCAGCTGGATTATGAGAAAGGCTGGGAAGGCCAGAGGTCAAGAGTAAACCAAAATAGCAACATGACTTTTAAAATGAGATCCATACAACAAAAGTGTAAAGAGCAGAGTTGGTTGCAGATGGTTTCCTCACTCTGAAACTCACAATAAAACTTGCTCTACTGTGAAAAGTTCATAATTAGATTTGCTATAGAAATATTAATAGTGTTATGACAGAGCAGGCTTTTAACATGTTCATCTAGCTGTGACACCTAAGTAACCTAAATGTTTGAAGACAGCTGCCTAAAACCTTTACTTATATTCTTGGTGGAAATTGGAGACAATGTTACTACGACTCCATCCGTTCAAATAACTGTCCTCTTACTTTCTTCTTAATATTCAGTGATGGACATTTTTTTACAAGCATTTCGAAGCATTTTTGGAAGAAAATGGGGTTTGTGAGGTTTTTAAGCTCAGCTTTTAAGTCTTTATACCAACACATACTTCAATACACTGGACTATATCAACCTGATATGGTCCCACTCAGAGCAGAAGGTCGGCATCGAAGGTATTGCACTATAGTGGTCATATCATACCTGGTTCAGAGACTTTTTGTTGTGAACTAAGTGATTGCAGATACTCTGTTCTGTTGCTTTGTGGGGTCCTACAGGGCTCAAATCTTGGATCCCTGCAATTTTTCTTGTGTCTCCTCCCTCTTAATTCTACTGTTTTGGAAAGCATAGGATTGGTTTTCATTTAGTGGATGAAACCAAGATCTTTGTGCCCTCAAAACCGGACAATGACTACTATATGCAACTTTTGCAATGTTTTCTGAAAGTAGGAATTACATTATTTTAGTATGAAGTTGGTGGGTCTTCTTCTCATGTAAATGTTGGCTTTCTTGCAGGTTAAACAAGGATTCTTGTCACAATCCTTGGTTTACAATTGATGGTGCTTTCACACAGGGTGAACTGATCAGTTTGGTAATAAAATATATTTTTTTTACCTGAGGCAAATGACCAAAGTAAATAATTCTCACTACAAATCTTTGAAGCATTTTAATTGGATTACTGTAATTCTTTGTACATTTACATTTTCTTCTGTCTCTGTTGTATTTTTTGTTGCTAATTTTACTTGTATTTAATTCCTATTTTTGATTAATTCATTAGTTTTAAATTCTAATGTGCTATTTATCATGTTTATAATTTTTGTTTAGCACTAAATTTAGTGCTGTATGTTTTTAAACTGGTTATGAATAATTTTGACTTGATTTGGCTTACACTTCTTAGCAATTAGCGTTTTTATGCATTCAATTTACCTCTGTTTATGTTTTTTATTTGTTTTGCACAACTTTGCTCTCCCTATTGTAATGTCTCTTTATTTCAATTAGTAGTTAAAAAAAAAAAAAAACTTTGTCTACAATTACAGAATGTCAGACAATTCCTGCTGTTATGATGAGGTTTGGTCTCACTGCAGCAGTGATTTTGGACCTTCAGGTTTCTTGGTTGTTGCAGGGCAATGCAATAAGTTCAGCTTATTCCAAAAAACATATTTCTAGCATGGAGACTGTAAAGGCTCCTCCAGGACCTTGAGATGCTATAAACCACTCATTAGTTGCCTTGGTTGTACCCCTCGGGTCATTGTCTTGGGAAGGAGGATGTTGTCTAAGATATTTTGATATATGGCCCCACCCATCCTGTCCCCTTAGCAGAAGAGCACCCACAAGGTGTGATGATTGTGAAGCCGGCTGATCACAGCTCTCTGTACTTGGGCTGAATCTGAATACCTTAAACCAGTGATGACATTTAGACCATGGTGAAAGTGTAAGAGTGGCCACTATGATACTTGCTATCCAAATAGCATACTGACATTAAGAGAGGTGCTAAGAAAATATAGCAGGATGCATCCTAGCCCCATGTAATTTAGCATGGGGACTTCCTGACGTTTCTAGCTGCTTCTTGGAGCTATACAGTTGCCTACAATCATTTGCACGTCATCTTTTTGTTTTTCTTTACATGTACTCCACTTGACACATACTAGTAAACAAACCTTCATATAAGATTTAACTATTTATTACATTTGTGTAACTTTTTGTTAAACTGTTTTCCAGAAGGCTGTAAGACAAGCTTTGACATAATAATAAAGTCAAGGCTGGTCAAAGGAAGGAATTAAAGCTACAATTTGAAATATTTGTATTGAACCGGGGTCATTTCGGCGTGTTTGCTTGGAGTTAGTTTGTTTGAACTGGTGTCATATATATTTATAGATAATTAATTTAAACAACTGCAATAATACAGCAAGATTCTCAACACAGGGCAACTTCTTAAAGCCTAGAGAACAGGAGGTTAGTTGTTAATCAGATACTTGTGTATTGCAATTAAATGCAATTTTATGGATTGTTGCTTTAGATTCAATCTCTCACAGTTGAAGATTACCATAGCAAATGGGAAAACCTGCAAAATAGGCTTTGTATCAAATACTTGCTCTTAGTTTAGTAATCTCGTGTATATTTTACTATTACAGTACTTGAATAGAAACATGTGTCTCTTTAATAATTAATTTTTATTGGGCCAAAATAGATTTGATCTTAGTAAATTCTGTTGTATTAGCACTACATTGTGCTGTAATTCACTGCTTCAAAATAATAGACCTTCTGACATTATACAAGTATCTTAAATAAGAAATTCATTCATCCATTGCACAGTAGTCCAGTAACATAAATAGATAGAAATTAAGCTGTAAGGTCTGAAAATGTGTAAATGTAAACATTTTCTACAGTACAGGAATTGTCTTTAAGTTCATAATTTTTACAGAGTAAAACATGTTTTTTTTTAAAGCTATCGATAAATCATAAGACAAAATTGTCATGTTCTTTCCCATTATGGCCACTAGGGGTTGATCTTGAATAACAAAATAAATAAACTGTTGTTTATAAAAAGTAATAAATAAATCAATGAATACTTTAATTTTTAAATACCTTGGCAAAATAGTACCATATGTAAATAGAATAGACATTTAAGTTTTCCACCATAGATAAAACCTTTATTGTATTATTTTTTCTGTGTTATTTTAGACAAAAGCAAGGGAGTACAAAATAAGAGGATGTCTTAGACGCTGAATATTCTGCTGCATCTGACATGAAATTTGATGCCAGGAAGAAGAAATTCCCAGAGCTGAGATAATGGAGATGGCTTAGAAACTGAGCCGATAAATCCAAAAGCTAAAATGTGATAAAAAAAAAAATGCCCTGTCATCTTACTATGAAATTATAATCCACTGGAAAAGCATGGGTCCAAAAAGGAATCTTAATGGAATTCTAGGAGTGATGCCAACCTGCATCCTGTGACCTTAACCTTGGTTTGTACTGTACAGAAAGAACTGGGAAGGAGAACAATGCGCAAAAATGGCAGACATATGCATGTATATATCTATGTGTTATAAATTAACAACATTTCTTTATAATTTTTGCACTCTTTCACCCCTTACCCCACCCTTTCACTATGTATGTTTGTTTTGGTTGTTAGCAGAAGTGTCAGTTATTTTGTTTTAGTTATTATGGGTGCTTTCTCTCTTTTTTTCTCATTGGGGCTGATATTCTCAATAAATGGTCTTGAAAAATTCCTTTTCTTCTGAATAAAAAAGATAATATTCTAGTCCTTAAGTTAAAGAAAAAAATGGGTTTAAGAGATTGAAATACGATTGGTGCTTTTCTATACATTTACATCACAGTTTGATTTTTTTTTATTTAATCAGAAATATAGCTATTTAATGTGAGCTTATGCTTTAATATTACTAATATTCTGTTGTTTGTTGATGCCTACCATTCAGTACTCATCATGTTTCTTGGCCAAAAAAAGCCACAAGTTGTATCGCCGCCTTAAGCATTTTCATTTGGTTGGAAAGGCAACTTAATGATCTGCTGCTGATCTGTGTTTTCGCCCAGGGATTTGTAAGCATCCTGTCTGCAACAAAATGCTCTGCTGCAGATTGTCAGCCTGCTGTTTGGAGTGGAAAAAAAAAAGTGGACACGGGGGAGTTTGTGTGATTACAACTGTTCCGATGACTCAGCTTAGAGTAGCAAAGAACTACCTTTGAGGGCTCTAAGGTCCTTTGGTGCAAAAAAGAATTTCTCAAACAGCACTTGTTTTAGATCAAAGGCACGGACGTATCCCATAAACCACAAACACATTACAAAATATGCAGCGGTATTTATGCAGAGAACTGCACAGAACAGCAAAAATGGGTGATGCTGATTGTGTTAGGTGGTAGTCTTCATGTGCAAAATGCTGAGCTAGCCAATTGCACATTATATGTGCAGATACTCCCTAGACGTAAGAGGACTAAAACGCAAGTCAGTAGCTTGGGAATATTGAGCTGCTGGTATCCGAGGAGCAGTTGATAAATATATTTTTGTAAATTTGAGTCAACAGGAAACAAAAAGGAAAACCTTTTTGCAATATAATCGACGATGAGTTTTCTACCTAAACATGCAGTCCATGTTGCGTATTTTTACAGAAAGTCAGAAATAAGTGGGCAGATGTGAAATATCAGGAGAATTAAAGATTTAAATTTTATTTCTAGTTCCGCAAATTTGGAGGAATTCAGGCATGTTAGACAGAGATAATCTGTAAATATGTATGTGTTTTAATTCTCGCTACAAAATGAATCTGCCTGGATTCTCATTGGGTAATTCTTACATATTACATTTGTTCAGTTGTAAGAGAATCAAAACACTGAATGTCAAGAACTTGCAGAAATTACAGTATTGAACTGTGCATTTGTTTTTTGCTTTTTTAACATTTTCATGTGAACTTGTTTACTGGTACATGCTTTCACTTTCATAATCCCATGCTTTGGTATGAATACAACTCACTCAGACATATGCCCCTTTAATAAATCCTCTATTCCTCATCTGCCTTGATAGCACTGGCTCAATCCTTGCTCACTAGGGGGTTTAAATCCTTGTCCTTATAAGATGTATCAGCAGTGTAACCACCAGGGGTGCAAATTATCTTATTTTTAAAGAATCTAACAAAAATAATTACTACTAAGAGCAAGGGGGGTTTACAGCTCAACAGAACTTTGGGTTAGTGTGAGTTTGGCAAATATATTAAACAAAAAGCGTATTTCCCATTAATCAAGAAAAAACATTATGCTTTAGTTTTATGGAGGGTCACTTTATCCAGCAGTAGGCTGTTTTTCCAGATGAAGTAGGATTCCTGTAGAGATGTAAAGCAATATTTTCCCTCACTTTTTCAAGCATTATTCCTCAAAGTACATAGTTTTGCATTAAACCAAGGAGTCAGCCTCCTATTAATAAAATCCTTCTTTTTCGTCTAAAGCAGGGAGCAAGAAAAGAAGTAACCAAGAAATAAGTAATCTACAAAATCATATATTTGTGAATTGGGGGATGAATGAAATACTGTCTACTGTATTGTTCTGTGATACAGAGGAGATAAAAAATGAAATTATTTATATTTTATTACAGTATGATCTGATAATGACCTGCTGAAGTGAAGCCTACTTTATGGGGAGATGAACTGTATCCCCCAATGTTTCAGGTTAGTAAAGCTGAACGTTTCCATTTCCCCCATTCATGTTGCATCTGGGTCATGTACAGTAAGACATCAGAGGGTCTCTGAACCCAAAGAAGTGCTTTTGTGGTGGCGCAGAAAATTCTTTTTTTATTATTTTTTTTAAGGCAGTACCACTAAACCTGCTCACAAGTGGGACTAATTTCTGTAACACTGATGAATATTTACTGGAACATTTTGCAGATAAATTAATTTGGCAAATGAATGGTAGTTTTGAATTGATTGGGACTGAGAGGAAAGTGAATAAACAATGTTTTTATTAGAATCCAGGTTAAGCCAAAACGCACACGCAATATTAGAAAGCAAAAGCAGAATACTGTTCAGTATATGTATCATTGTTGACTAAAAGTTTGTTTTGTATAAACTAAAATCCCAATAAATCAAACAAAAACTTTTTTATGATAAGAAATGCACAATCTACAGCTACAAAGTTGGTTAGCAGTAGAAGAATAAGCTGAAATATTCTGACTCCATTCCCAGAAATTCCTCCCTCTTGAGACATTATACCTTATTTGGTATGCAGTTTATGCAGATTTATTTTTCTGTTTTCTGTATACATGTATGCATATTTCCTGGAACCCAAATGGGAAGAACTTATTTTAAATTCCAAAACACAGATGTAATGAGCTTTTTTTTATCTGCTTTAAAGTTCTCCCAAAATGTAATCTTTTCCTTTTCTTTGCAAGAGATTTTTCCTGTGCAGGTCATTTGAGGTCACAGCTGTAGTTCTCTTCTCCACCAGAAGAAGGCAAGCTGTGTCAGATCTGGTGAGTCTGGACAGCCCATTTAAAGATGCCAGCCGTTTGTTTCTTCCATATTTAATAACTTTATAAATCGTGAAAACAACAAACAGCTTAGTTGTCTAGAGTACTGTGAAACCCAGGTTCAAGTTCTGGTATAAATCTGGCGGTGGTGATTGCGCTTGCTGCCATTATGAAGAAATGTGCTAGTTCCATACCTGCCTTTTCTTTTCCTGTGAGTGTTTTTCTTCCTACGCCTGTGACCGTTCTCTCTCATCTTCTGCTGCTGCAGTGTAAGTCTAGAGAGGCTGCATTGTCAGGGTTTGGAGAAAGTGCTTGCGTCAGACTCTGTCCTGCTATAAAAGCACAGCCTTCTGCTGCAGCGAGCAGTCGGGGCTTAAACCTGAGCCCTCTGTACACCTATTCTCCCACACAGGCATAAAGAGGCGAGGGAGAGCAGCCTATCCCTCCAACACTCAGCCATGAGTAGCTTCGGATATGACCCCTACTATGCCTCCTCATTATACAAAACCTTGTATGCTGAGCCTACCCCTCGGGTAGTGGTGCGAGGAAGGACCCATGCCAGCTACTCTTCCCGTCCATCCCCACTTTCTTCCTCCCGTCTGCAGTACTCCTCTCCCAGCCGGGTGATGTTTTCCTCCTCCTCCTCAGCTTCTTCCCTAGAGCGGGAGCTAAACCAGGCAGCCCAGATCAGCTCCGATTTCAAAGCGGTACGCACACAGGAGCGAGGCCAGCTGCAAGAGCTCAATGACCGTTTTGCTGGCTTCATCGAGAGGGTGCGTGAGCTGGAGCAGCAGAACCGTGCTCTGGAGGCAGAGCTGCTGTTACTGAGGCAGAGGCATTCAGAGCCATCCCGTCTCAGAGCATTGTATGAACAAGAGGCTAGAACTCTGAGGGCAGCTGTGGATGAAGCAAGGGCAGAGCAGCAAACTGCCCTGGGTCAGAGAGAGAGGCTGGAACAAACCCTGAACTCACTGCAGGGTCGATATGAGGAGGAGATGTTGGCTCGGGAAGAAGCAGAGGGCAAGTTGATAGAGGCCCGTCGTGAGGCTGATGAGGCAGCCTTAGGAATGGCAGAGCTAGAGAAGAGTGTGGAAACTCTGCTGGATGAACTGGCTTTCCTCAAAAGAATCCATGAGGGGGAGGTGGCTGAACTTCAGGCTCAGGTCCAGATGGGGGTCCAGGTAGCCGTTGAATCTGAAGCCGCCACTCCTGATCTTTCTGGTGCTCTCAGGGACATCCGGTCCCAGTATGAGAGGCTGGCTGCAAAGAACATGAAGGCAGCTGAAGAGTGGTTTAGGGGAAAGGTGGGTTCGCTGACGGAAACTGTTGCTCAGCACAGCAATGCAGTGAAAAGCTCAAAGGATGAAGCAGGGGAGTACCGGCGTCAGCTGCAGGCCCGCATACTTGAGATTGATGCATGCAAAGGCCTTAATGTATCCCTGGAGAGGCAGCTGCATGATATGGAAGAGAAGCAGAGCGCAGAGATAGCTGCTATGCATGTAAGTAGTAGCACACTGCAGTATTATGTGATGCTTCTTTAGATTCAGTACTTTGAGGTTACTCACCTTGCTTTCTATTAAGGACACAATTGCAGAGTTGGAGAATGAGCTGAGGGGGACCAAACAGGAAATGGCACGCTACCTTAAGGACTACCAAGACCTGCTCAATGTCAAAATGGCTCTAGATATTGAGATTGCAGCATACAGGTAAGACTAAAATGCACCTGTGTAGACCTTCTGAGTGTGGGTCCATTACAAATAGACATAACAAAAATTAGAAACATATAACTGTGTTTCTATCATCTCTGTTGATTACAAATTGTTAAATGTCACTGTTTCATTTTGGTTTAATATTAATTATATATTTATTTCATAAAATCTAACAGAAAAACAAAATACAAATAAAATAAAAATGTTACTTTTACTGTTGTAAAAAAACTGTCACATTTGAATACAGTTTGTTGAATATTATTTATATGTGTAGCAATTAAACATGTTCAGGTGCATACACAATGGCATATTTAATTATTTGAAACTTTGAACATTTTTAATAAATGCTTCAGTATGATTTTAAAAAATTTACTATTTTGATAGCAAATTTTGAGTTTGTTAAGTTATTTTGGAAGGCATCATTTTCTCTCATTATTTCACAGCCCACTGTTCTAGCTATGTATATGTATATATCTAAATTTAGACAGTTTAATTTCTCCTTAAATTGTGGTATTTTATCATGTCCCATTTTTTCTTTAACAGAAAACTTTTGGAAGGTGAGGAGTCTCGCTTCAGTGGGGGAGGGATTGGGGGTATGTCCTCCCTGTACAGCCACACCCTGGTGGGACCCTCCTTTGGTCGGCCTATCCTCTCCAGCCTCAGCTCTGGCACATCTTACCTGATGACCTCCCACCTGCTCAGCTCCAGCACCACTGAGGGCATCATCTCAGCCAGCCACGCCCAGCAAGAGGAGGCCGCACCCCCTTCAGACGAGGAGGCAGAGGAGGGACAGGGTGATGAGGAGGAGGAGCAGAAGGAAGAAGAGGGTGGAGAGGAGGAAACAGTAGAAGAGGAGGAGAAAGAGGAAGAAGAGGGAGGAGAGGAAGAAAAAGAAGAACAAGAAGAGGAGGAGCAGAAGATAGAGGAAGATGAAAAGGGGGAGGAGGAGAAACAAGCGGAGGAAGAAGTGAAGGAAGATGAAGAGAGCAAAGAGGGAGAAGGTAGGTATTTTCTTATTATATTTTCATTTTCAATACAGTAAACTATTAATAATTAATGTCATTTAGGATTATGGTAATACAAACCTAATATTTACATTTAGGTGGTGATGAAGTCGAGCAAAATGAGGAGGTTGACCAGACTCCTGCTGCTGAGGGAGAGAAAGAAGAACCAGATGATGGAGTGGAAGCTGAGGTTAAAGCAGAAACACAAGAGGTAGAAAAAACAGAGGGACCAGACGACAGCGCTGAGAAGGCCAAAGACGGTGAAAAAGCAGGGAAGGAAGATGCTAAAGAGGCTGAAGAGATAAAGGAGAAGGGAGAGTCAAAAGAGGGCGAAGGGAAAGAGAAGGGAGAATCCAAAGAAGGCAAAGAGAAAGAGGTGAAGGAAGAATCTAAAAAGAGTGAAGAGAAAGAAGACAAAACAGATGCCAAGGAGGACAAAGCTGATGTCAAAGAAGCTGCCCCAATAAAAGACAAGGAGGATGCTAAAAAGGAGAAAGTTGAAGAAAAAACAGCTGAATCAAAAAGCACAAAAGATAAAAAGTGAATTCAGCACAATTTGATTGTCATAGTGCAAATTACAGCTCAACAATCAAATAATATCTCAGCGCTGGCAATCCTGCTTGTTAACATGGTGCTCAATATAACAGTGTGAAAACACTGACAGCAACAAATCAAGCTAAACTGCTTCAAATGTCAAAATAAATAACCTATAAATGTCTGACTGCACAGTTCCTGGTGTCTGTTACTACTGAATGATAAGTGAGCGTTTGTGTTTTGGGGGAATAAATAAAGAAATACTTCTTCAAGCCTTCTCTATTAGTTTATTTGCAGAACTCCCTCAGTGAGTGCACTTATGTAAGCAGTGCCTGTCTAATAATCAGATTATATGTGTGCTAAAAGTTATATTGCAAAATGTAATATACTGTATCCTATTGAGATGAGAACAGATTTTAGAAAGACGATCAAAGGTTCAACAGTAAGAAAATAAACCCGAGTTTAGTTCCTTTTTAAAAAAAATTATGTTAAATAGACATTAAAACCAATAATATCTTAATCTCAGTGGATACCTTGGACCTATGTGAATAGTGAATAGTAATCATCTCCTTAGTTTAATGAAAAAAAATCCAGTGCAATGCTGTGATGTGATCATTAATTTTTTTCATTTTTAAAAGCCCTTTAATATGTCTGAGTTAAAACTGCTCAAACAGTATTCTCTCTCCACAGTAGTAAATCCTTTAAGTATTGCAAATATCTGAAAAAAATAATCAAATGGGCCATTTTGGTTTAGAGGGCGAATATCTTTTCACATAGGACAGAAGTGTTAAAGTTTCTACAATAGATGAAATCAGCTTTTAAAAATGGCTTTAATTATTTGTTCATGGGGCGAATCTAGAATGGGGCTCAATCATTGGCCACCCCTACCAGGTTATTTGTTGTTCCGACGTCCATTTAATTGACCACCTCTGGAACAAGCAGTTCCCCTCTAAACCAGAGGGTGGCAGCAGTGATACCATCATGGTGAATCAAATTTTAAGGTTAGTTTATTAAAAGTATAGTGGAGGATCTTCGTGAAATTTTTTAAAAGACCCGCCCTATCCACTTTAAAAAAGAATGCACATGCAGAACTCTATTCCCGCTCCCGAGAACGAGCGCCTATTAAACATGTGCGTGAGCCTATTTCTCCTTGTGCAAGCTCTGTTAAAAAGTTGCCGCTTGCATCACTCATACAAGCTTACTTTCCAAAAGAAGATTTGCAATTTTTCCACTGTGTCAGACTCATTGCTGGTAAGTGAAAATGGGGGCCAGGCCGTTGGGCGGGCTTTCGTTGACCTTTTCTTCGGGTTTTCTTTCCCCCCGGGGTTGGTTGGTTCAGTTGTTAGTTACCCGGTCTTGCAACTGGGAGGCTTGGTTTCTTTTTCAGGTTGGGGGTAATGAGCTGCCAGTGTGGGTCCTTAGGCAAGGCACTACACACTAAAACCTGCTCTTAGTGTGGGTCTGGCCTAGTGGTTAGGGCATTGCTCTTGCACTGGCTCCATGTGCAAAGATCCTGTACCCCCACACTGCTCCCTGGGCTATATAATGGCAGCTCACTGCCCCCCAAAGGGAATGGGTTAAATGCAGAGGGTTCATTTTGTTGCTCTGTATTGTGACAGTTTAATGACAATAGTAAAAAACAAAAAACAATTAGCAGGACCAATTAGATTTATCCAATTATCCACACAGAAAAAGAAAATTCTCCATTATACCTTTAACTTATTAATGACGCAATATTGATTTTCGACATGATTTTATCTTAAAATCATGTAGCAGGACTATGGAGGACCAATCCTGACATAATTAAAAATGCATAAAATAATGGCTTATAATATAAAAAATAGTGAGACATTAAATGAAACAAACGGATAAAAAAAATAGGGATAAATATTGAAATTCAATTCAATTCAGTTTACAATTCACAACACATGAAATTGTAAATAATTTTGAAATAATTATATTTATCTTTTACTTTAACTTTTAATTCTTTTTCTGCACTTTTGTTCTAATTATTCATTTAAACAATTAATATTTATTCTTTGCTTTTTTACTGAAATGCTGTATTTTTTTTACTTATCTATTTCAAGTAAATTTATTTTTGTTTTATTTCTCCCAACCCTTTTTTATTTCTTTCTGATTTTTTGACTGAAAACTGTTTTTCCACCCTTTATATTATTTTCCAATTATTTTATTTTTAATAATTCTAAAAACTCTAATAACTATAAAAAATATATTTTCTAATCCAAGTATTTTCTGAGCAAACAGATATCTCTTAAGCCATTTATTTCAATCTCTCCTTTTTCTGCCACTTGTTTTTCTACTTCCTGTATTTCCTCGATGTGCAGCTAGCTTTTATTGTAAAGCCTACTGTCCAAAAACAAAAAAAAAACTACTCGGAAAAAAAGAAAAAGGTTAAAAAGTAAAAGTTGCAGATGGGCTATTTTCCAAATCTAATTAAATCAAACATATTTTAGAAACAGATTAATTAAAATAATAAAACCTGGTGAATGAATGCACAGAAAACTCCACAATAATATTAATTTTGAAGCTATTATACAAGGAATATTTCTGTCATGATAGAGCTCTCTGATTCATAGCTGGTAAAAACTCATTTCTGTCTGCTGACGTCAGAGGGAGAACCTTTTTTACAGCTAGCTCATTATTCGATAATGGAGATGGATGAAAATATTTCCCTGATCGTCGGATCTACTGCACCCAATTTGAAAGCAGCTGTGGACCTATAGGAAACCTAAATAAGCTGACGCCATCCGTATGGGGTTTATAGCAAAAAGCTGCAACTCAACGTAAAGACATAGCTGTATCCTTATCCATGAAAACCTCAGCAGCTGCCCATAATAAAACCACTATTCCAGCTCTAAGTTTTTCTCCTGCATACTGTACGTCACCTCGGTTTTCTCCCTCAGTCACTGAGCGGCACTAGAGTCCTCTGAATTGAAGAGGATTTTTGATGAAAACAATTTTATGTAGGGGAACTTTAAATTATTACATTGATCATTCATATTCACATTTGAATTCTACAAAAAATACTAGAAAAGGTCAATATCGTCTCATTGACACTTTAAACAAAAGGAGATAGCAATTACAGTAAGTACAGTAGTAACAACAATATACTATTATTAAAGAGGACTAATTCAAAAATATGTGCTTTTAAAAACGGTTCAATGTTTTATGTGGGAGAATTGACCTCAGTCTGCATTCATATAGGAATCAAATCAAGAACAACTGCTTAATCCATTTAATGTGCAGAATATCTTGATGTCAGGGTTCTGCCCTCTGTTTAGGTTTATTTTTAGTTTCTTTATTATTTTGTGTCTTCAAGTTGTTTTCTGGCAGTGTTGTGTTCTTGAGTTTCTCTCTGTTACCCCTGTTAGTTCTATTCACAGCTGCTCCATATCAGCTCATTAGCTCATCCTTTGTTCTGTTCCCCATATATAAATCACCTCTGCAGTTCCAACTTGCTGGTTTCTTATTGTTTTGTTGCTCTGTTTTTTACTTGGCTCCCCATGTGTATTCTCTGCTGACGTCTCCTGTTTTTTTTGGGGTATTTTGTTGGATTTTGTTACTTTTATCCTTTTTTTTTAATTAAATGAGCAAGACTCATCTCTGCCTCCTCCTCTCTGCATTTGTGTTCTCAACCAACCTCTACCAAACCCTGACAGTTGAAACATGAATATTAAATAAATTTAATCAGCACCAATGTATACATATGTGCATGACTTTATTGGCAAGAGCCTCATGAAAATCTGGTCTGTCTTCAGTGACATATCTGAAAAATATAGTTGTTCATGTTAATTTTCCTGCTGGTTCATTGTGATTGGTGTAGATGGACCCTGCACTGGTTTTGGTGCCTATAAGTTTTCAGCCACTCATTGTACGTTGGTTCCTGCCTGGCCACCTTTAATTAAAGTTTTCTGAAACAGCCACTCGTTTGTTGCTTGGAAACATACGCAGGACAAAGAAGCTACTATTTTACATCACATTATCTTTTATCTTTGATATTTTATTTCATTTTAGTTTTATATAAATAAATATACACTGTATATGAATTTAAAAATACTCCCCTTATGCTAAACCAGTTAGTCTCTAAAAGGAGAATATTGTTTAAACAAACTCTATTCTGTAAATAAACTTTAAAATAATCACGCTTTACATTTTTAAAATAATAAGTTGCCATTTTAGCATCTCCATCTTGATCAAACAAAGGTCCTTTTAGAGCCAACAGCTTCTTTAATCCAGGTCAATATGTTGTAGTCTGCTGTTAGAACATTTCCAATCAGAAAAGGGAAACATCTATTAGCCATAGTGCTAACAGATTTTTTTCCCCCGATTGCTAATGTCACTGCAGTTTTAATGTTACAAGTTTCTAAAACCTTGTTCACCCTCCATAGCAAATTAGCTCTAGAACTGTCTATTTAATAGAAAACCTAATCTCTGCCATCTCCAGGTTTTGGGATACAGGGGCCCACTAAAGCTGACAAAGATTAAATGTCAGCTGGATCACCAACTCATCAAATATGAATTGGTTGAAAAGTAGCAGGAAACCTGATCTCCATACCAAACAAAAAGCTGTAGAATAGATTTGCTGATACTCCAGTGCTATATATTGCACCAGAATGAAGCATCCGCCATATTTATTGCCTTAAATTGTTTGTTCTATGAGTTATTTCTACTAATGGGGGCAGTAATTAAACTGTAGCATCAAGGACACTAAATTAAATAAATACTTTAAGGGTCTCTTAGCAGAGTTTCTTCTTTAAAAAAGATTAAACAAAACTGCAGTCTTTAACACTTTTAGAAGAATAATTTTTGGGCAATTATTCTCAAAAAGAAAAAAGCTGTATAGTTTAAACTTTAACATTAAATGCTTGCTGCATATTAAGAGCTGCGTAAATCCAAGAATCCCCATAGCAATCCAGACATAACTCAAGCATAATGGTACAAATAATTACAAGACAATTATTTTTGTTTTGTTATGATATTTATTGAGCAAAGGCTGCTGGGAAATAATTCAAGATGAGTAAAGATATGGGACTGCAAACAGTAGCACCTCATTTATTTCTGTAATTAAATTCAAGTTCATTCTATGCATACAAGGATGCACAAATCATTTACAGTTACATTTGTCTAAGTTGCTCTCAGGTAAACAGAACAGACAGTGATAGAAAGCATGTTTAAGGCTAGGAGTTTCTTTAGATTTGTTAAGCTGTCATTGCTTCAGATACTGGATGTATAATGGTGTAGTTATGTGTTTCTTCACCTAATGTTTCATATTCATTATTACTGTTTCTGGCTCAGATGGCATCTTCACATGTCAAGTAAGGCTTCTTCAGAAGAGTGCATGTCTGGGCCAAGGACCCCCCCTGCCTAACCCCAACCCTTTCTACTTAAACTCAAAAAATCTGTCCCAACAATCTCACATTACATTTTCTTTAAAGTGCTTCCCTACCAAGCATACAGATAAGAGAGGGCAGTACTCCACTCCTCTGAGCTAGCATGCAGATACACCATCCCCCCCTACTTCTGAGCTCACCTTATAAAAGCAGAAAGAACCTAAAATAGGATAAAGTTCCTCAGTCATTTGCTCTTCACCGCGTCAGTAGCAAAGCTTGCTTAAAGCTTTCACTCAGCATGCAGGTTTGAAGTTTGTCGCATTTTATTTTGGCTTCTCTCTATAATTTGCTTTTAGTGTGATTTTGTTATTACATCGCTCTAGCTGTATGGATTTCATTGTTACGTTAGTTCTTTGTGGATTGCTTATGTTCTCTCCTCTACCTTGCGCCTCTCTCAATTTTGCCCCCTCCTCTTCTCCCATTTTCTCTAAGCTGACCCTAGTCCACTCATTCAGCCTCTGTCAATGGCTTGACGGACTGCTTCTCTGTCTTTTTGCCAGAGACCAGCTTCTCCTGCTGCAACTCTTCCAACTCCTTCACTGTTTCTGTCACAGTGATGGATTTTGTGACATGCTTGGACCCATCCTCTCCAGTGGTGATTGTCTCCACGGTCTTGGTGATCACCACTTTCTGGCTACTGTCTTCTTTAACTGGGCTCTCATCTACGCCATTAGCAATCACGTCTGTATCTTTGTTCTCTTTTTCATCTGGGCTGCTCTTCTCTACCTCGCCGTTCATTGCGACGTCTTTCTTTTCCACCTTCTTATCATCTGTTGAATCACTCTTTTTTTCAGACTTGTCCTCTTTCGGAGCTTCAGCTTTGGTGGCATCAGACTTGGGGGACTCAGATTGTGGTGAGCTAGGCTTCTGGGATTCAATCTTAGGGGAAACTTCTTTGGGCGATTCAGGCTTTGGAGAAGCAGACTTAGGGGAGTCAGCTTTAGGAGACTCTTGTTTGGGTGATTCAGACTTAGGAGACTCTTGTTTGGGTGATTCAGACTTAGGAGAAGCTGGTTTGGGGGATTCAGACTTAGGGGGACTCTGTTTCGGGGTTTCAGACTGTGGAGAACTGGGTTTTGGGGATTCAGACTTTGGGGAACCTGGTTTTGGGGATTCAGACTTTGGGGAACTGGGTTTTGGGGATTCAGACTTTGGGGAACTTGGTTTGGGGGATTCAGACTTTGGGGAACTTGGTTTTGGGGATTCAGACTTTGGTGAAGAGGGTTTTGGAGATTCAGTTTTTGGGGAACCTGCCACTGGAGATTCAGGTTTAGGAGATTTTGATCCATCTGTTTTTGAGGCCTCTTCCTTGCTGGCTTCAGTTTTTGAATCTTCTGACTTAGCCACAGCTTTTTCTGATACGTTTACTTGCTCTTCCTTTGCATCCTTTTCATCTACCTCTTTGCTGTCCTCTGCATCAACTTTTTCTTCCTTTTCATCTTCTCCTTTTGATACTTTGTCTTGTCCTTCGTCTTCTTCATTTTCACCACCTTCCTCTTCAGCAGCAGCCTCCTCTTCTTCTCCTGCACTACCCTCTTTTTCATCACCCTTCTCTTTGTCAGGAGAGGTTTTTGACTCTGGAACTTTTGAGCACAGTACAGTTTCCTCTACCTCCTCCTCCTCCTCTCCTCCTTCTCCCCCCTCTTCATCACCTTCCTCTGCCTCACCCCCCTTTTCTTCCTCCTCTTCTCCTTCCCCTTCCTCCTTTTCTTCTTCCTTACCATCCTCTCCCTCACCTTCCTCTCCCTCATCATCTCCCTTTTCCTCCTCATCTCCATCCTTAGAAGGGGCACTAGCACTAACTTTGGCTTCAGAGGCAGCTACAATTTCCTCTTCGTCTGCTTCATCTGCAGCATCCTGCTCTTCCTCTCCCCCATCATCCTTCCCTTCCTCCTCCTCCTCCTCTCCTCCGGGTGCGGCCGATAGCTCCTGTGCTATCTCTGCCAGAGCCTCATCAATATCTGCCTTGTCATCCTCCACCCGCGTCTCCTCTATGATCTCCTCCACAAACTTGTGCTGCACTCTCAGCTTTGAGGAGTCTGATTTAGGTTTGGAGATTTTGCTGGAGGTAACAGGCTGGCGATAAGGAAATGTGCTAAAGTGGGTTTCCTCTCCCTCGAGGAGTTTCCTAGTTAGAAACAGAGTGGATTTATGGTAAATTTGAATTATTTATTTGTCTAAAACCAATGAAATAATTGGAAGTATTGTTTTAGTACTCTACCTGTATGCAGCAATTTCGATGTCCAGGGCCATCTTGACATTCAGCAGGTCCTGGTACTCACGGAGATGGCGCGCCATCTCCCACTTGGTGCTCTTCAGTTCATTATCCAGCTGGTGGATTGTCTCCTGAGAACAAAACAAACAGCAAAAACAACTGATAAAGCATAGCAGAGCTATTTTCTTTGCACAACCTGTTGTCCAACTGCGTCTTTATTAATTATTTTTTGTGAACTTGTGAATAATAGCACTGCAGTAAAACTCCTTCTCTAATGTATTCTGACGCAATTCAGCATTCTAGAGATGCTGAGCCTCTGTTCAAGGGTAGCCTCTAACACACCACCCCCGCCCCCTCCTCAAACCTCTGAGCAGCATGATGCAAGGACAGAACCAATGAAGGCATCGACCCATGCTTCTGACTCAGCAAGAGAGGAATGGGGGGTGGGGAGGGGGGACTGCGGAGACTGTTTTTAATCACTTGGAAATCTGCCAAGTTCATAAAAGCAAAGAAAACCCGCAGTAATAATAATGGTGGAAAACATTTAGCCCTATAGAGTCAGAGTAATTTTTTGTTATTTGTATATATATATAAATATGTCAAATAAAATATCTGCGTCACCATGGAAAAACTCTGAGTTTTAATGCTCAACCCAAACATTTGCCCTTATATTAAATATTTATCACATAGTTAAGAAAATGATCAAAGTTAGAAAAGGGTGATAGTATTTTTATTTTTAAGTGAATAAAAATAACTGTTCAGAGTGTCTCCCTACCTGAAGGCTGGACAGGTCGCTGTTGTGCCGGTCCTCGATGTCATTCAGCTGCCGCTCCAGAGAGTCCTTCATACCGCGGACGGATTCCAGCTCCACCGTCTTCACCTGCAGCTGGCGGCGGTAGTCGGCTATCTCATCCCGGGCGGACTTGATCGCGTCCTTGTTCTGCTCCGCAGCCTCGGTGAGCTTGGAGTAGCGGCAAACGAACCAGCTCTCCACCTGCTGCAGGTTCTGGTTGGAGTGTCCTTCCAGTTCGCTCCGTATTTCCCGCAGAGCCTCGGTGATGTCGGTCTTCTGGAGGTCCTTTCTTTCCATGGTTATCTGAGACGCCTGGATCTGGGCGATGAGGTCGCTCACCTCTTCCTCGTGGTTGTTTCGGATGAAGGCGATCTCATCCTGCAGCGACTGAACTTTTTTCTCCAACTCGGACTTCACCAACTCAGAGTCACCGGTGTCCTTCTTCAGTACGCGGATTATGGCTTCTGTCTCCTCACGGATGCGAGCCTCCTCCTCGAAGCGGTCCCTGAGCCGCTGGATGTCCTCCTCGATGTGTTCTGTATCGAGCTGGATCTGCGCCTTGTCGCGGTGGATCTGCTCCAGGACGGTGCGCAGTTCTTTCAACTCCTGGTCATAGAGGTCGTCCAGCTGGGTGCGGGACACCTGCTTTTGACGCAGCGCCTGAATCTCAGACTCAATCTGCTTGTTCTGCTGCTCCAGGTAGTGAACCTTGTCGATATACACAGCAAATCGGTCATTGAGCCCCTGGAGTTGCTCTTTTTCGTTAGATCGCTTGTAGTCACCGTTCAGGATGGAGGTTTGACTGTAATCAACGCTGTCGGCGGAACTCAGCACAGTTGAGCCGTATGCCCGGGGCGCCGGTGCGTTCACGGTCCTCTTGTAGGATGCGGTCACCGTGGAGCTAGGGCTCGTCCGAGACCAAGACTGGGAGCGAAAGCCGCTTGAGGGGGTACCGGTGGGGCGGCCGTAGCCATAACTGGTTGTTCTTGTATCCATAACTCTCCTGAATGGACTCCCTATCGTGTCCATCGTGTAACTCATCCGGTCAGGCTAAAGTAGAGGAATGGAGTGAGACAGTGCTGGAGATGTAGAGGCGTGTGGGTCTAAATATATATGTGTGTGTGTGTATGAGTGTGTGCGCAGATGAGGGGTGTATGGCTTTCACAGCGACTGAGAGCCCCTCCGTCTTCTCTTTATATACCGGGGCTTCTACCGCTAACAAGGCAAGTCCAAGCAGTTTAGCGTTCCTCCTATGAAGGAGGGGAGGGGATGGAAAGGAGCGTCCCCCTCAGCTTGTGCGCTGATGTTCCCGGGACCCACTCAGTTTGGATCACGTGGCACTGTGGGTGTGGGATTTAGGATCAATTGAAAGACATACAGCAAGGTGGTGTGTTTACATGCCTTCCATTATAATTGCTGAGGCGCCCTAATCATTTCAGCACCACAGACAGCGACAGTCAGATGTCACTCGTCTCCCTGATTTAAGAAAAAACAGCATTTTGCTGACAATTGCTGAGCCATGGTCTGCATGCAACAGTCTCCTGCTGATCTTGTCACTTGAATTATTCAAATCAAGGTTAGGTTAACAAATTAGCAGTTTTCACTTGGTGTGCAACTGCAATCAGTGCAAGGGAGTAGGCTTGATTTCAAGTTTGGTAGGGACACAATTGGTCTTCAATTTTATTGGTCTAATGTCATTGGTCCTATGCAAAAATATGCATGCTCTTTTTTATTTCTTAATGTGAGCATCAGGGCACATTTTGTTTAAAGAGAATAGCAGCATGTCTTGCTACATTAATACAATCCAGAACTCCTCAAGAGGAAAAGTTTCTGTGTCACCTAGTTTCATTTAGTAAAAAATTCTTCTTACAGGAACCTTTGGCTAAAAATAATCGACAGATAAATCAATTAGCAAAATAATCATTAATCGCAGCCCTAATTTTATGCTAACTTTCCAAACACATTTCTTCCATAATACAGCACTGAAAGGCAGCTGCTTCACCTTGAGGCTGCCCTGCATAATTATATCTGTGTTTCCTACAATCGTATAACGTTTCTATTATACAAGTGCATTTTTAATAGTAAAGGATTAAATGTAACACAACCTTGCAGTATTGTAAATTATAAACATGTTGTTCCCACTGTAGGGACAAGTAGATGGATCCAAAATTTTGGAATTAGGCAGACAAGGCCCAGGAAGCATTCTGGAGGTACAGGTGTTTCTCAGCTCAAGGACTCCGAGTGGCAGTCCAAGGTATTGAAACCCGGAAACAAGTGCCTTGCTGTAATGTTTTGTACTAAAAAATAGACAACGGTTACACAGATACACAATACTGCGTAAAATCCCAGCGTTTTGCTTCTTCTCCACGTCTTTAGATATTGTAGTTTGCATTATAATTGTCTCACCTTATCTGCCACATCAGGAAACAACCTTGATGTTGTTTCACACTCTGTCTTCTTTCTCTCTGTGTGTTTGTCTAACATGGGCAGTTTCAGTTCTCGAGCTGCAACAACGACCCCCCCCCCCCCCTCCAAACTGTGGTGTCTGCATGTTTTCACTGAAGGTTTGGCCTCATTAGCCGATTATTGATCATCAGTCAATCTTGATGACCTTTTTCATTATTTGGTCACTTTGATCAATATGAAACCATTAGTAGCTGTTAGAAGTAATGTGTGAGAAGTGTGTTTTACCTTTTTGTTTAATTCTGTATATCAGCAAAGGGAAGACAAAAACAGCTTCATACACCATACATTTTATAAATGCTGTATGTGTTACCAACTGATGTTTAATCTAGTTCTTTCTCTTAACATAAGAAAAATATTCTTCACTTTCCTGTTCCTCTCTTACCGGTATTCCTCTCGAAGCTTCCAAGAAACAGAGCTAATGTATCAAGGTTGGACAATTTTAGAGTGCTCCAGAGACAGAAGGCAGACAATGAGAGAGAGAGTGAGCTAAACAGACTGAGAGAGAAAGAGAGAGACGGACATAGTGACATCCTTGCCTTCTGTGTGCCTATTTAAAGCTGTAATACCTATAGTAAATTACTCCCTTCAACCAACAAGCTCCCCAGTTGATGATGTTGCAGTGTCATTTGGCTCCTTTCCATGACTTGCTTTTCTATTTTTATTTCGTTGACTAGCAATCGCTTGAAGGATTTCATATCCTGTTAAGCTTTTCTTATGGGATCTATTAAGTTCAGCAGCTGTTTGATGAACATGATGTTCTAAGGGTGAGCAGGTACACAACAATTCTGGGCCTCAGCGCATTGCAGAAGGGTTGGAGTGTTTTCAAAAGCCGATGCAGCAGAAACATGCTCGAACAGCTAAGACAAGCCTATTTTAATCAGTCTCGGTCCATCCCAGCCTGCAACTTGCACAGACACATCCATCGGGTAAGAGAGGCCAATGAGCCTCTGAATGAGGTCAAGACCAAATAAACCTGGCCTGGGGAATTTACTTTAAAGGTTAAACATATGATTTCTCAAAAAAATATCCAACAGGGAGCTAAGATAACCCTAGATATGTGATACCTTTATCAGAATGAGCTAATTCTGTAAATTAATTTAAATCATTTCAGTTCATTTCCATAGTGCCATTTCACTTTAAAAATAAACTATAGTGACTAATAACTATCCCAACATAACATTTGGAGTGCTTATAGGTTTCTGTCAAGGAAAGCCAGTTGAATGCACTTAGTCACTGACTTGCAAGACCTCATCCTAGATAAGCCTGGATGAAGGACAATTTTCACTTGCATTTTGTCTTTGATTGCAGGAATCTCTCACACCAAGCATGCATGTAGCAACAGTGGAGAGGAAAAACTCCCTTTTAACAGTAAGAGACCTGTAGCAGAATCAGACTTATTGTGAAAGACCTTTTTGCAAGGCCAACTGCAGGGAGGTAGAAGACACAAAAAACATAAAAAGAAGCAGACATACAAAAGGTAACCGTTAACTAGCTCATCGGGTGGCGCAGTCCAGGGAGGATACAGCCAGGAAGATTAGCTCTGAGCCATTTAGTCAGGGTAAAAGATACAACACTAAACTGAAAAAATAGACCTAACTCAAACATCCATAAACAAATGTCTCGATGTCATCAGAGCACAGCTCATATTGCATTCTAGGATGGAGTCTCAGTCAAGCAGGAACAGACCAGATGAGGCTAATATGACAAGAAAAACAGAGAGAACATAAACTTATGGGTAAAACTAAAAAGCACAGCAGAATTAGAGAACTGAGAAGGAATGGAGCAGAGTTATGAAAAGATATCTCTATGTCCTCCAGCATCCGAAACTTATGGCAGCATAAATAAAGTAAATAACTGAGGACAACCTAACTATTCATTATAATATGACGTAGTGATTATTGCTCCCTGAACGATGATTTACATACACTGGTAAAGTTGTTTAAGTCAGCATAGGGTTGAGAAAAACAGTGTATATTATGTTGAGGTTAAATTATGCAACCAAACTTCTAGTTTGAATTTAAATAGATACATCTTTATTTCACCAGTTTTCTACAGTCTGTGTTTGACCAAACAGAAAGGCATCAAAGCATGTGTTTTGGTAATACTGTATCTTGCCATATATGTATATATAAACTTATCCAACGATTGAAAAAGTGTGGGAATTTTTGGTACTACAATATATTTGTTAAAGTATTACCTGGCAAACAAGGTTAATTTAGTATGTTTGGTATGATCAAGATGTTCTTACGATTTCCATCTCTAGCCAACTTTATTAAAAATCAAGATGTAAACTCTAGTTCATGATACAAGGTATTACAGCTGTTTTGATATGTCATCTTTTGCTTTTGAGTCATCCATAATTTAAGTCATGCATACCTTTTTATTTTATCACTTAAATTCAATATAAAAAAAGTCTCTAAATAGAGTGTTTATAATTTCAGTAAATTAATATGTCAGAATGTCCTCCAGTTTAATACAGAGAAAGATAAAAGTCATTGTTTTTGGCCTAAAAATGTCAAATGGCTGATCAACGCTTTACTGAACTCCATAATCATACTGTAGATAGTTTGTACTTGTGAGAGTTTTATCAAGTCTGAAGGCTCCAAAGTACTATACACTACATTAAGTAATCTACCTATTCACAGACTGATAATGGTAAGCTACTTTGTAGCCACAGATACCTGAAGCAGACTGACTGAAGCCATGCTGCCACACTATCAACACCAGAGCCCTTTGACTACCAACAGCCAACAAGGTCGGCAAAGTGTCATGCCCAACGACACAACAGCAGAGAAGGATGGAGCAGGAGCTCAAATCCACTAGTTACAGGAGCAACCATTTTATATTCTGAGTCAATGGTACCCTAATATTATTAAATGCTATGTATTGTAGCAGTAACTAAAGTGTAGCTGTTGTCTCCAAACATGTTTAACAACCACTTGAACCTTCACTAATTCAAACTTTTATCATCTTAAAATATTTGGAGAAACTTGTTCCTGCCGTAACAGGACATATAAACTTTTGTGCATGCCTGTTTTTAGTGGGTGAGATTACTATACTGTGTCTTTACTTATATCAATAAAATAAAACACTCAAGCATCCAGCTCATCCAATTTTAGCTGCCAGAATCCAGACCAATTCTAGAAATGTATCACATAAATTAGGTTCAAGAACTGGCTTGGAAGAATTTTCTTAACATCCTAAAAGGTACTGCATGGTGAGAATACTTAATATCCAATTAAATTCAGTTAAATTTAGTTATACAGCACCAATTCAGAACACACTTTATCTCAATACACATTACAGAGACAATTTAATCAAATCATACAGACAAGTTGGTTAAATGTTTTGTATCTAAGGAAACCAGCTGATTGCAATGACTCTATTACTTAGCAGGATTTGCTTCTCCTGAATGAGCATTTAGCAACAGTAGACGTTCACTTGATTTGCTTACTCTGTGTGGCCGCGGGTAGTTTTAAACATCTGCTATGTCAGCTGCAAGGCATCCATATAAATACTTTTTAGGTATTGGTAAACTAGGTCAACAGGTGGTTCTGTCTAGGAAAGAAACAGTGAAGCAGTGAGCTCTGAGGCACTTTTGATATAAAAAGAGTCAAGAGAGCACATTCAGTTGGTCACCGTTAAAGCTGAGTTTGTAGATATGTCTCATTGATAGGAGAGAAACAGCACTAAACACAGAAAAACAGGCCAAATTGTATTATCTGGAGGTGAACTTGACCTCAGCAACCCCCCTGATTTCTCCATCCCTCCCTAAAT